TGTCTTTCTCTCTCTCGCTCTCTGATGAGCACACATGCTCTATAGCAAATTAAAATAATAATAACAAATAAAATAATTCTTTAAAAAAACAGAATAGTTAATGGTCTGGGTGTTTTGTTTTGTTTTTCCATTTCCCAAGTATTAGAATACTCAATTATTTCACTTAGTGGTGATTTTTATAAACTGATCATCTTGGATTCAAAATCACAGTAGAGCTGAGAGAAAGGTCCCTGCTTTGGCTGAGCGCACAGGTAAGCAGTGTCCCTGCTCTGGGGCACACAGTCTGGTGGCCATCCTTGAGACCATGCAGACAAAGGTGGGCCAGGCGGGCCAGCGAGGAGGAATGCTTCTGCTTTGGGAGACGTCTTATTCAAGGCTGAACACTGCTCTTTCCAGCATTAAGATGTGATAAGTCCATTTCTATTCCACTGGTTTAGCTAACCCTATTTCCATCAAAGGCCCAGACATCATTTGTTGGCACTTAGCGTTGCTCATAAATAGAAGGTTGGCCCTTTCCCAGTTCTTTTCAGATACTTCTTGAAAATCGAACATTTGGAAAGAAATACACTGTCCCCAAATACTAAGGTGTTTTACAAGTCAGTCCTTTGAAGCTAAATGCCTCTCACAATAACTTGCAGCAACTTTGGAATTGAAATTCAGCCTTTCTCCTCTTCCTGCAGAAACTGGATCATATGTAACACTTCCACCTTATTTTTTAAAATGTTTTACTGAGAAAATTTTCAAACATGTAAAAATAAGGGGGTAGTCCCAGCAACCAGCTTCAACAAGTGTCAACATTCTGTCATTTTTAAAAATCTTATTTCTTCACAACTTATTTACTGTTTGTTGGGTTTTTATTTGTTTGTTTGTTTGTTTGTTTGTTTTAAGAGAGGTTTTTGCTATAGGGCGTGTGCACTCACCAGAAAGACAGAGAGACATAGAGAGATAGAAAGCGAGAAATCACCCCCCAGGGGGGATGGCCGTGCCGCAATCCCTTCTCCTCCATTCTCATCTTGGGATCTTGGGCACGCATGCACAGGTGCTCGGCGTGAGTCTAAGCCACCGAGTCCGGGACACGAACCGTGTCGACTACATGGGAGTCCAGCAACATAGCCATTATGTTAACTGTTGGTCCCTGTTTGTTGTTTATTTGAAAGCAAATTTTGTGTATCAAATCATTTCACCCACGAAGGCTTGTTTATTTCTTTTAGATAAGACCCTCTTCTTTTTAAGAAAACTACAACATCCCTATACCCTACAAAATTAGCAATCTGTCTTTTTTTTATAATTATTTTATTTATTTATTTATTTATTTTTAAATTTGCTATAGGGCACATGCACTCACTAGAGAGAAAGAAAAGGAGAGAAAGCTGCCAAGTCTGGGTCTCAAACCACGGTCAGCCACGTGGGAGTCCAGCACCTCAACCACTAAGCCAACTGCCAGCCCCTCGATAATTCTTGATAGTATCTAATATCTAGTCCAAGTTCAAGTTTCCCCAACTATCTCAATAATGTGATTTATTCAACTAAGAATCCAAGCATTAATATATTTTGCACAGAGATCTCTTAAGATCTCTTTATATCTGCACACATTCCCTGCTGTGCTTTCACCTCTATCTCACATTAATTTAATTCGTTTTCTTGAGAGGTTTTTGCTATAGGGTGTGTGCGCTCACTAGAAAGAGAGACAGAGAGACAGAAAGTGAGAAATCACTCCCCAGGGGGGATGGCCACGCCACAATCCCTTCTCCTCCATTCTCCTCTTGGGATCTTGGGCACGCACGCACACGCGCCCAGCGTGAAGTTTAAGCCACCGGGTGCAACTCGAACTGCGGTGGACTACATGGGAGTCCAACGACATAGCCATTATGCCAACTGCTGGTCCCGCATTAATTGACTTCTAATTGGCAAGTCAATCTTACCAACAGTAATCCCCCTTTGGCCTCCACATGCTCAAAGCAAACCCAGACACTCACAGGCCCCAAGGCACAGACTCACACGGCTCCACTGTCCACACACAAGCCAACGTGAAAACCAGTATGCCAAGCCACCTCACATACTTCCCACTCTCTAGAGAAGGAATTTGGATTGCTTCAGCAAGCCAATTCTCTAAAATTAAATTGTTTCTGTGCTGAGATGGCCTGAAGACTGAATGATTTAAAAAACAAGTCATCCATTCATTATGGCTTCTTTTTGAAATTAGCCAAACTTAATCAAGAATCACAAAGTAAATCAGACAAGCCTTGTAATCCATCATCATTAACAGTGACAACGTTAACTGAGCACCTAGATCATGCAGGACATTGAGTTATAGGAGCAATGACCGATGTCCCTATCCAACGGGACTTGCAGTCTAAATGAAGAGGCGCTGCATCATTTCCACAAAAACGCCCCAGAGGGACAACAGAAGCAGAACCAGCCCTGCCCAAGTACTGGGTTGAAAACATCTGTGAGGTCGACCTGTGTGGAGGAATAGGAGTAGGAGGAACACAGCTGACCGCTGCTTCTACTGAGTGTGAGCTGAGTCGCACCAGGTAAGTTACTTAACCTTTCCGAGCGCCGGTTTTACCATTTGTAAAATAGGAATAAACCCACCTACTTCGGAGTAGCAGCACTTAGCGAATCAGATCTTACAGGAACATCCAGTTAGGATGGAGGTGATGGTAAAATCATTGAACATAAAACTTCCCGGGCCAGACACTGGGTCACTGTGGCTACCTCACCTCACAGGACTGGTGTGAGGTAGCACCACCGTTGTGCCATTTCCCAAAGTGAATGGAGCAGGGGGGGCAGCTGCCCTCCCCCAGCTAACATGTTGACAGGTACGGGGGAGCCAGGGCCTGAGTGCAGAACTTCGGGGTCCTCGCTGTCAGCCACGCACATCCCTCAAATACCACCGTGGTGCGGCAGAAGGGCAAGACCCAGGGCAGCATCGCAGGTGGGTAGACGGACCCTCCTATTTGGCTATTAGATAAAGCATATCCTAAAGACGGTTATGGCACCCCACGCCGCCCGTGCCTGCCTAATGGAAAGCCCAAGGAGCCTCCCCAGGCTGTCCTGCCAAAGGCACCACTGTCTTCGGAGACCTGATGGCTTCCTTCCTTACTGGGGCACATCTTCAGCATGCTGCTAATGGGTATTAAACCTTTTTTTATTTTTAATTCTCTTTTTCCACAGGACACACGTGCTTGCCATAGAGAAAGTAAAAGGTAAAGTGAGAAGTCATCCCCGGTGAGATGGCCACGCCACCATCCCTTCTCCTTTTTCTCCTCGGGATTGTGGGCACACATGCACACATGCCCAGCGTGACTTTCAATCAACCAGGTCCAGGGCTCGAACTGTGTTTGGCCACATAGGAGTCCAGCGCCTAAACCACCACACCACATGCTGGCCCCTTCAAGCCTTTTTTAGTGCAAATCTCAAACATCCAATATTTGTTCACACAGGGTCAAAATTAAAACCATAATTTTTCTCCCCGTATCATCTTTTACTTCCTTTCTGTAAGAGAAGCTGGGCAGCAGAAGCTACTCCGTGGCCACCATGCTGTGGGACAGCCAGCCAGCGGAAAGGGCACCTGAAGGGGAAGTTCCAGCAGCCCTCCCAGCCGGTTCCCAGGCCATAGCGGACCCAGCCACCATGTGAGTGAAGCCATTTTGGACTCTCCTGCCTTCCTGAAGCTCCAGCTAAGACCACACGAAGCCAAAGAACCACCCAGCCAGCCCACAGAACTGTTGGCTCAACTCTGAAACAGCTGGGAGACGGCCCTCTGGCCAGGCAGGGCCTCAGACCTCAGAAGGGCAGGCAGTTCGGGCCCCCGGCTGCTTATCAATGGAAAGGGCACGTTCCTTTGACGGACAGATGCCCAGGAGCTGAAGCCTAAGTCTCTGTAAACCCGCGTCTGTTTCACGTGGCTCAGCAATGTTAAATAAATATTAATAATGCTTATGTAATATTGATAAAGGCGGTCAATTTACTGAGCATTTATATTGGTTTTGTGCTAAACCCTTTATTCATTTAACTCTCACAAAAGATTTTTGAGGTGGGCCACTGTCATGCCCATTTTGCAGATGAGGTCACTGAGGTTTCGGGTGCTGTGACTGGCCGGGATCACACAGCCAGTAAACAACCCACAGGATCGCACCTGGTAACTGACTTGGAGACCCCACCTCCTTCCTACCCATGGGCTCCTATGGCCCCTGAAGGGTCAGAGAGTGTAAAGGCTGCACACTGCCTAGTCTGTGGGAAGTTTTGAGTAAATGCCGACTCTGGTTATTGGGGAACTGGAGATGGCCAAGGGAAGGCAGAGGAAGCCCGGTGGGTGACGGGCCAGGAAGCAGACCACTACGCTGAGCTCCAGCCAGGCTGCACAGGCCCTCACCGCAAACACCAAACTCCCTGGTTTTCGGTCAGGTCTGCCCCCCACCCGCCCACTCCCCAGCCTGGGAGCTCCTTGAGGATGGTGGGCGTTTCCAACTCATTTTGGTAAGTCCAGAGCCCAACACATGGCCTGTTCAGGGGCAAGTAGGTGCCAAGGAAAAGTCTGCACTGGAAGGAAACGCCCACGAACCACCATGCCAACTTTGCCTTTCCAGGACAGGCAGGCAGGGACAAGTGAAAAAAATCCACTCAAGAAATGCGAGGCCAGTGGGCTCTATGAGACGACACAGAGCTGGGCTGTCGCCAGGACACTAGAGAAGTCCCTGCAACTCCGGGGGCCACACCAAGGGCTGGACCTCCCAAGTGGGCTGCATGCCCCAGTCCAGGGATTAGGTGAGGCACACGGTGGACACGCCCTCCTCCCACCCCCACCCCGCCCCCCTGGAGCCCCGCCCCGCCCGGAGAGTGGACCGCCACGAGAACGCCAAGACAGTTGAGGGTCCCGCCGTTCTGGTCCCAATACCGGGGGGCCTAGCCGGTAGCTCCTCCCGCCGTGCTTCGAGCACCCCGAATTCTGCGACAGGGTCCCAGAGAAGGACGGGGGCTCCCCAACTGTTACTCACAGTCGTTTAAGTCATCCTGCAAGTCCACAAAGTACAGGGGGATCTCTGAAAACCAAGAGAAACACAGGGGTTACGAGGGGCTGCGGCGGGCGGGCCCGGGACAGGCAGGGGCGCCCCCGCCTCGCGGGATGGTCTCGGGGGAGGGGCGCGGGTGCCGCG